GGTTTCATACCCGGTCCATTAAATGGTCAACTTTTGTCTTTTATGCCAATAATGCCTGACCAACAAATCAATGAAAATAGGTCGTCCTGGGGCACATGCTGATATTAATTCAGATTTGAATTATTTTCACACTTTAAGGAAAGTTTTTGAAAAAGAGTAATATTAAAGTCTCTATTTACTGCTCATAATGTAACTGTTAATCGTGCTCTTGAGGCTATTTATCAAATTTCATTACTCGTCGCTTAATCTCGGAAAAGGCGTACTATAGGGGAGAATGGAATCAAACCATCAATATCAGCATTTAAAACTGTTAAAAAAAAAAAGACATTAAAGCTATGCCACTAAATAACAATACTGTTTACAGAAGAAAGATTAAATGAGAATATTGAAATACAACTTGTTGAAAGGCTGAAACCAAGAAAATGTTCGGTGCAAATGGATGAACCAACTTTCAGAGACAGTGAGGCTGTACTTGTAACTTATGCAAAATATATTCATAAAAGGGATTTTGCCGAAGAAATGTTCTTCTGTAAATCATTAGAAAGCACCACTATCTCCAAAGATATGTATAGTAAGCTAAAAATTACTTAGATATAAAAAATATACCATAAAAAATATTACATCTGTACTGCAGATTGGTGCTCCTAAATATGATGGTTGGAAAAATAAAATAAAGCACGGAATAAGAAAAAGGGTTGCTTAAAATTGATAAAAGATGAGAATCCAGAAATGCTTCTTGTGCATTGTGTTATTCATAGAGAAAACCTGGTAGCTAAAAACAATTCGCCTGTTCTAAATGAAGTACTAAATTCAGTTATAAAGTGTATCAATGCTATTAAAGCTAGGGCCAAATGTGAACGTCTTTTCAAGTTATTTTATGAAGAACAAAATGAAGACTATATGAGACTTGTACTTCACACTGAAATAAGAAGGCTGTCAAAAGGGAACTGCTTGGAAAAGTTTATGGAACTATTTGATACTCTTAGTTATTTTATAAGCGACAAACCTGAAATGAAAAATCCGTTAACGGATGATAACAAGGCAATTGTGGGTTATTTAGCCGATATCTTTGAAAAATTAAATATATTAAATAAACAACTTCAAAGAGCAAATAAAACTGATGTCGATGCAAAAGGAAGATATTTGGTTTCATTATCTTTTGTTAAAATTATGTCAGGCATATACTATTTTACCACTAAAATTTTGAAAAGTCTCATTGGCTCCAAACATGTGATGTGACTTACTGCTATACTTGTTATTGTCAATCATCTGAAAATTTTATCGGCCGATTTAAAATATTTTGTAACTTAAAACAAATTATTTCCCAACTTGGATGGTGCAGCCAATGTTAGTGGATTTGATTGTTATTTCAAATATGCAGTAAAAAGAAGAACTTGCAGAAATGCAAAATGATGAGTGAATTAAAATTTTATTTAATATAAAAGGAGAGATGACATAGCTTTGTGAGGAAACCAGAATCAGATGTCCAAATGCAACAAAATTTGCGAGAGAACTATTGTTACCGTTTCCATCTTCATATTTTGATTTAGTGTCATACATGATTTGCTGCTAAAAAAAAAAAAAAAAATCGGTTGGATATAATGAACGCAGGAGACTTGAGACTCAAGTTATCTACATTGGAACCTGACATAAAATTTCTTTTCAGCAAGTATCAAGCGCAAGGAACTCGCTAAATTTAAATAATAAAAATTACTAATACTTAAAATGAAAAACTTTCACTAAAATGAGTTTTTTCTTGAATTTCAGTTCTCCATGTTTTTAAAGTTCACTTACTGTGTTTGCTCACAAAATTTCGTAGTCATTTCTTCCTAAAAGCTATCATTAAAGTTTCTTTCATGAATATTTCAATTTTTAAATAATAAAAATTATGTATATGATAGGGGGAGCTTAAAAATTTTAGAGAGGATTAGGTGGGGCATAACACAAAAAAGGTTGGGAAACACTGGTTTAGATGGATTTGAATGGGTTTGTAGGAAGAAAAATTCAGATGGTCACTATGTGAAGCGTCCGATCAGAAAAAGTACCTGGTTTGAAAAAAAGTCATTTGAGTATGATTGATATTTTGATTTTTACGTGGCTCTGGGTGTATGAAGCGAATTCGAAAATCATGGTAAGTGAATATTTGCTTTTGGTAGTGCTTAAATGTATATTTTATTATTTGGTTTAAAATGTATTTTATATGTATTTTGTTTTTTTAAGTCTTGTTATTGTAGTAGACTTTGGTGCTCCTTTTACTTTTTAAGTGAAAATATATCCATGTGTACATGGACAAAGTAAAGGGAGTGCGCAATGCCAGTTTGTGCAATTCTGAGATTTTTTTTTTAAGTGGAAATAGGTCGATGTGTACATGGATAAAATCAAAGGAGTGCGCAATGCCATTTTTGTGAAATTCAGGGGGGGTAAGTGAAAATAAGTCGATGTATACATGGATACCGAGTTTGTGCAACTGTTTGTCTTGCTATTTTGGCTTTGTGTAGCGGCGACTTTTGGCACTTGGCAAGCCAAAATAACGAGTCAAAGCTTTGCCAAAAATCAGTATCCATGTGCCGCCAAAAATCGCCAAGGGGTACCCTAAACTATACTTTTACCTAAGAACTTTTACTTATATTTGAATGCGATAACATTTGTATTTTGCAATAAGAAGATTAATATTTTATTTCTTAAGAAATTTATTATCAATATTCACTCATTTCTGTCGTTTTTCGTACCCAAAACGGTAAAATAACGGATGTCGTAAAAAATACGACACTCGCGTGTGTGCTCATGTAAAATTGCCAAGCGTGCGCACTGGAAGGTTAAGAATTGCACATACTCAGTATCCATGTACACATTGACCTATTTTCACTTACAAAGTGAAAGAAAATTGACAAAAATCCAATCCTTCTTACTCTTGTAAAAAGTGCAAAAAAAAAATAAGTGGGCGATTTTGCACTTTACTCAAACATATTTTTAACCTCACATAAAATTATTTTAGGAAATTTATACTATTTTTAATGTACTTTTTTTGTGTGTGTGGTGTTTATGTAATTTTAATTGGCGATTATACCTTACTTCTGGTTACCATGATAGTTTTAACTTTGTTTTAGCTTCCTGATTTTATTTAAATGAAAATACATTGATGTATACATGGACAAATTTAAGGCAGTGCACAATGCCTAGTTTGTACAATTCTAGAATTTTTTTTAAGTGAAAGCAGATCAATGTGTACATGGACACAGAGTTTGTGCAATTCCTTGACTTCTTATTTTGGTTTTGTGTAGCGGCCATCTTGAAATTGTGCCTTCCTGGCACCGATCTTGGCGTCAAAACATAATCGCCAAAAAACAAGGGGCACCCATCTCCAATGAAATTAAAACTTTCTGAATTTTCAACAATGCTTTTTTATTTAACCTTTAACTGCTGTGAGCGGTCTGTGAGACAGCACGACATTTTACATTAAATGCTTCCACCTCTTAGAATAATTAATGGATGTTGCCATTCTTAGTACCTTCCTAAAACAGTTGTCCAAGGTCACATACCAAGTTGCGTTTGGCTAGCTCTATTTCTTCTTTTATTTTTTAAAAATTTCTCCCCCTTAGCAGTCTGTGGGACCGATAACAGCTGATACGATTCAAATTTCACTAAAGATAAAAAACACTAATTCACTAATGATATAAAGGCCGATAAAGTTCACTTTTCGTGGTTGTTACATATTTTACTTTTTTATAAATATTCTTGAAATTGCTTCAAATGCGTGCAGGAAATCTTAATCTTATCCCACTATCTTTTCAATCTTATCCCATTGGCTCCAAAAATAAACAAAAAGATTTCATTAGCAATTCAGTTGGTGCAGTCTCATGTAAAACGGAGGATAACTTCAGCATTTTTACCTAAAAAACTCAAACTTACAATAAGAAGAGTTTTCGGAATAAATGATGATGAAGGAAACATTGCGATCGAAGATGATAAATTAGATAAAAAAAGAAATTGCTATATTTGTGCATCGAGAAAAAAAAAAAAAAAGGAAAACAGCTTACAAATGTATAGAATGCAAAGAACCAGTGTGTCTACAATGCAGTAGAAAAGTATGTATAAAATGCAGCTCGAATTATAATTTTTAAAATAAAAATTAGTTTTCTATATTCTTATTAAAGCATTCTTATCGCAAATTTTAATGTAAAATAAAAATGTTGAATTTTAAAATTTACTTCTTCCATCCAGATATGTAAGCAAAGGAATTATTATCATAGTATATATTTTATTCTAATGAACTGATTTAAGTATAAAAATTGCTTTATATCTTCATGTAAAAGTTAAATATATGAAATTAAATAACATTTATTCAAATAAGAAAAGTAAAACAATATCTTATTTTGTTTTTAGCAGAAGCGGTCTGAGAGACCGCTCACAGTAGTTATGCGACAATTTAAGTCACAGTAGTTAAAGGTTAATTAACAAAGCAATTACTCTTGATTCTTGACTTTAAAATGGGACACCCAGTGATTGGATTCAAAAATTTTAATAACCAATTTGTGACAAGATAAATTATAAAATTAGTTATTAAGTAGTCATAAATTCTCTTAAAAATATTACAATTCAAGTTTAACAACTGGTTTGGAAAACTGAAAGTATTTTTGAAAACAGTTCTAAATTAGATGTCAACAAGCTGAATCCCACCACTGGCAACATATTTCTTTTCCAAAACTCGAGAATACACATATATCCCTCCCCATACCCAATATCAAATTTAAACATTCAAGGTTTAAATAGGTATTTATAGAGTAATTATCGTAAAAATAATAATTATACTATAAAAACATATTTTCATGTTGATAATGTTCATATGCAACCATATATATGCACACCAAACAATAAGAAACCATTACATTACTAGGATGAAGTAGCTAATAACTAAAAATTAGAATTTTTATTGCCACAAAATATTTAAAAGAGCATAACTAGCAAATCAAACTAACAATAGTGCACATAATTTAACTTACTTCTTTAACTTCTGTTTTAATAATGCAAGTATTCGTTTCAAAATCCCAAATTTTTATTACATGATCTTCTCCAGTAGATGCAAGAAGATTAACATCTTTGTTTTTGCAAAACGAAAGTGCAGTCACTTTAATGTCATGAGCATCTAAAATGGACTTTTCATCAAGAATTGTTGGTACGTTATTTTGAAGATTTATGAAGTAAATGTCACAACGACTACCATAAGCAAAAATACCCGCACCATTATAATCAAGGATTTTGAGCAAATATCTATTAACAGCCGGAAATATTATGATACCAGACATCATAAAATGTCAAATGTTTTCAAGTAATATGGAAATCGGTTGCTTAATGCAGAGTTACTAACATAAGTACTGTAGGTAAAACTAGAGAATACGGAAATACTTAAAATCCAAAAAATAAAATATTATTTAAAGTTTTAAATAATATGTGAATCTCTCCTAAACTAACAGTAAGTAAGTATGGCTCTTCGTCAGAGGAGCCTTATTGTTATAACGAAGCCAAGCCGGTGTAACAAAACAACACGTTGAGTTGCGCAATTGTCTTCAATTTTATTTTATTATTATCTATATTCTATAAATCGTACATATAAGGAACAGAAAAAGTGTGATTATTTTTAATAATAAAAAGTTTTATTTCATTTTCTATGAATTTTTCTTTTAAAATATAATATAAACCTTTGAATTAGTCAAATCCTTAAACGATACACTAGGACTTTCACTTCAATTAAGGGATTTATTTTTATTTATTTAAAAAAAAAAAAGCGCGGAGCCTGAAGTGTATTATCTCTGCTTTAAATTATGAGTTATTGTGATTATAAGTTTTTGTGAAACAGCCTTTCTTGCTCTAGAGTACTACTAAAAAGCAGTAATTACTACGATTCAAATTATATTTCACGAGAAATCACATTTCATTCAAAACATGAAAATCTACTTAAAGTAATTTAACTTCATGTTACGTAGAACTTAGCTACAAATACATCACATGCAGCAAATAATATAAGGTAGCAATAATACAATAAGGTATCTATTAAATATATAGTTGTGCACAGAATTGAAGAAACATTTAATGTTGTTTCTTCAATTCTGTGCTTAAAATTATGAGTTGCTGTGATTATAAGTTTTGGTGGAACATCCTTTCTTTCTCTAGAGTAAAAACCGCCTACAATGAATCAGCGTAATTCCAAATAATGCACGTACACATTGTGAAAAAAATCAAATAGAGCTTCCTTCTTATTAATGTGTAGGAAGCTCTGATGTATTTGCTCTGCTGTGATTGGTGGAAATGAATTTGTGCGGAAATCAAAGTTCTCAGAAAAATTAGAGTTTCCTTCGGGAATGTAAAATCTAGTTTTATTTAGCACAAGTCGGAAATTTAAAAAGGAAGCAAAGTGAAGCTTATAATTTGTATCACGATTCGATTTTTTTTTTAAAACGCACAGCTTCAAGTGAAAATATAATGAGGTAAAGTCATTTTTTGCATGTAATTCTAGCACACATATTCTTTGAGCTTTTAATTTTCTTAACTGAGATATTAAGGTAAACTGTTAAACAAAAATAAACTCTTTTAAAATTAATTTGTATAATGTATAATAATTAATCAAGAAATATAAGATATCGATTTAAGTAATTATATGTAATTGAGTTATCTTGTTCTTAAAATAAATATAGACAACATTTTTGAAAGTGTGTTTAAAAACATTTATACACTATATTAGGTTTAAGATATTGCTGTGGATTGCAAAACAGGAAATATCTTGTGTATAATAAATTGAGACTTACGATATTGTAACATAAAAGTACTGCAATAGAACGCATACTGGATAACATATTAATTAAATAAAAGTTTTATTTATCAGTTAGTGTTCACATAAGTTTATTTATTTTCAGTGAGTATTACAAAATACTTAAATTTTGTTTTTCAATTTGAATTTCTCATTTTTAATGAAAAAAAAAAAAAAACTGAAATGTTTTGTTGTGTAATAAAATAAGATGGCAATGATATAGAAAGTATATCATAAGTACCTGATTTTTGCAAATCTGTATGAAAACTGGAAAAGGTAAATTAAACCATATAAATCAAGAAAACTATGTTTAATGAAAAAGAAGCTCATACTTTTCAGAAGTTTCACTGGTAATTCTAGAAAACAATCTTAAATATTTTCATGTTGAATGCATTTAATCTTTCAGTTCTTTTAAATAGCAATTAGAAGTTTGACTATCTAAGATTTTCAAAATGCATGAATTGAATGATTCTTTGTCATAAAATGCACTGAAAATAAATATTAATTTATCTGAATATCGTAAAATTTAAGCTTTTTTGAATTTTTATCAAAGAAAATTGTATTATCCTTCCTTGTATTTCTTTCTCAATAAGCTTGAAGTTAATTCTATCTGAAGCCTTTGAAATCAATATCCAAATTTCCTTCATAGAAATGGTGAATGTGATGTAAGTTGTACTCAGATGCTTACACTATGCTTGTCGAAGCAAGCAGATGTGTTCTTGCTGTTGTGAATTCTTAAAAATGTCTATCAAAAAATATAATTTATGTTTAAAATGCAAATTGTGTTTTTATCTGAATAAGACAGAACTGGTTGATGTTGTTTTAATTTTAACTGGTTGATGTTGTTTTAATATTTCACTTTTCCATTAGTGAAGCTTCACAATCTGAAAAATAATATTTTTGTCAGTGCCCCAACCCTTTAAGATTTTGTTAGAATGACAAGAGCAAATAAATGAGATGCATTTATTTTGCAATTTAGACTTCCAGCTATCTATTCAGGGTTTTACCTGTTGTGAATGTGCTTTTGTCTGTTTCAGCAATTTTCATATTTTTGCTGAATTTTCCTTTAAGCAAGACAACTATCACATGCATACCATGGTACCTTTTTGCTATGTGCTGCCTTGTGTTTTGTTGGGTTTTATAATTGTAAATGGTTTTTTGTTATAATAATACTTGGTATAATTTCATTATAGAGACCATAAAAAATCTCCAAATTGTTGTTGATGCCAAAACTAATTATGGTAACCCTAACGCAAGAAAGGAAGCATGATAGGGTTAATCTTTGGATTATGGTAATTGGCGAAAATTTGGCGACCAACCCTGCTACAACAACCTGCTAGTTTTGTTTTGGACGCCATTTTGTTTTCACGAAAGTAAAATCGTGCTATTTTTTTTTTTTTTTTTTACTCAACATTTTTTTCCAACAATCTGCTAGCCGAATTACGCTTATGCTAGAACTTTTATGGAACAAAAGTGCTTAATCATGACGAAGATTAGGTGCGAAATTGGGAAAAGTGTAGAATCGCCCACTGCTTGCCGCATTTTTTAAGAATTGCACGTACACGGTATCCATGTACACGTCGACCTATTTTCACTTATAAAAATCCCAGAATTGCACAAAAATGGCATTTGCGCACACTCTTGACTTTATCCATGTACACGGCTAAAGTCCTAGCTAGTAACCTTTATCACCTTACCAAAATGTCGCCAAACTACCTGTTACCATATTCCAAAGATTAGCCCATAATAGTAAATAAATATCTAAGATTATTATTTCGAATTATGAAAGGTTAATTTTATATAAAGCATTTATTATTATTTTAATTTACAAAAATAAAGGGCTAAACATAACTGAATGAAAGCATAATAGTAAATAACTATCTCGTTATTTTGTTGTTATAACTTAAAAAAAGGCTAAACACAACTGTAAGAAAGCGTGATAGTAATTAACTACTAAGATTATTAATTTAATTTGATGAAACATTAATTTCATATAATACATTTTTTTTATTATTTTAATTTATAAAAAAAGGAGCTAAACATAAGTGAAATTAAATGGAATGCATAAAATATTTGACATCTTCCGACATTGCAGAGAAAATTTCAGTTTTCTGGTGCAAACATCTCTACCTTAATTTAGACAAATGAAAATCGAAATGCTGTCGAGCAGAGCCCCGTTAGCATTTATTATACCATTTAGCACTGTTGCCGCTCTAGCCACTGGAGCCCCCACAGCCGCTTTATTATTTGTATATGACACCCGCTTTTGGGGTCGACAAAACTGTACGTTGGGGTTCACAGTAAAATGTTCAAAGCCGGCATCTCACTAGTCATCCTACTTATATGATTTCCAGCAGTCAGTCTGAATAATGTTTCCTTCTGCAATATTATCTTTTATGACGTTCAATAAGGATTTGCTGATCGATCTGGAGCAGCGATTAAGAAACATTCATTTGATTCTCTGCACAATCCGCCGAAAACCCACTGTAGCAGAAGAACATGTCCAACATTATTCTTTCTTCTACTGAAAAGGCTTTTTGTCTACTTCAATAATTTTGCCACATCTATTGGTTTTCAACTTAGGCCAAGTAATTACAGCTGCGGCACACATCTTATGCATGTAACTGTTCCAGTCTACAGTTGTATTATCGTTCAGCTTCAGCTGGAGTTACAAAATTCAATAGATGTCTTCTCTTGACACCAGAAATAGCTGTAACCTAAATCGCAGCCATTTCTTATCAGATTGATTGTTTCTTTCAACACTGGCATACAATTACATAGAAATTTTACCAGATAGTTCAGTTTTATGCCGTAAGGCTATTCACAGTAATTAAGTCAATTAGGATGCAATCACAACGCTCACCCGAAGGCGAAAATATAGAAAAGGTAAAGTCAAAGGTTAAGTTCATCAATTCTAATGAGAATGCACTAGCAAAGTAAAGCACTGCGGTTTTACGTGATTTCTGAGTAAGCTATTCGTACGAATTGAAATAATTATTGCATTTAAACTTGTATTCCAAATTAAGATTTAACTTGAAATTAATGTAGATAAATACCGAGAGAATTATATTTTTTAGCGTAGTTTACATGAGATGAGATCACTTGTGGTCACGGGATATGAATCGGCGAATCAAAATATAGTACCATGAAAGCACAGTAAATTCTTAAATTAATGTCCTTCTACAAATTTATTGTCTTTATTTATTGGCTTTTTACAAAATTTTAAATGATATTAAAATGCTTATGCCTTCAAAATAAAAAATTCTTAGAACTAACATTTGTTAACATTTTTTATGTGTGTACTGTATGTTGTCGCCAATAAAGTCTGCTTGGGGATATTTGCGCCGGTGAAATGGAAAATTACCAAAGAATGCTATTCTTTATTTTTATTTATTTTCCCCATTTTAGTAAACAAGTTATTTGACTTTTCTTTTTGGCAATGTTAAAGTAAGACATATTCTTAGTAGTGTGAATTAATAAAATGAGCAATTTAATTATTTAATAATTTCTTTACAAATTTCATATTTTCTGAACATTACAGCCAATACGTATATTGTTCACATTCAGAGCTATTGCTAGGATATTCAGTACCTGGGGACAGTTGAAAATTCCTCCCTTCCTGTTTACCAAGAGTGGAAAATGTTTCATTTTAAAAATTCACAACATCAATTTGATGCCCCTGGATGCTGCACCTGAGGACAGATGTCCCCCCTTGCCCCCCAGCTACATCCCTGTTCATATTCATTTAAGACTGTAAAGTACTTTTTTTAAAAATATGTAAAGTACTTTGCATTTTATTTGTTTGTTTATGTTTATTTAAATCAATTGTAAAAAATCTATAAATAAACCTGCAATGGGTTTAATTTTACTTCACTTAAAAAGAACAAGCTATCTGGATGATTAAAATTCTACCGCAAGTAAAATTTATATATATTTATTGCCTGCTTCTGAAATGTAGCTCAAAATATTTAGTTGTCTAAAGACTAATGTGAGATTTCTTCTAGTTTATCAGACATCTTTTATTTTTAAATGCTATTTAAATCTACTAAAAGATTAAAAAAAAAAAAAAAACCCTAGGTATAAACTAACAACAGATTTAGTTTTGCTTAAAAAGAACCAGTAATCCTAACAATTGAAATTGTACTTTAGGTAAAATGTGTATATTTATTATCTGCATTTCATTGGTGATGTATATAGTCATCTAAAAATTAATATAAAATTTGTTCTAGTTCTTCAGATTCATATCACTATGCTGTATCTCAACTGTCTTGGTTGTTCGGTTGCTGGGAAGCAATAGAAGCAGAGGTTTCATACCCAACAATGGATACTTTAAAATATGGGGAACTGCTTGAATTCCAGCCTGCGTATTTGCAGCCACTTATTCAGTACAAGTAAATAAATTTTTTATTTTATATAAAACAATTATATCAAAATTATTTATATTAACCAAAAAAATTTAGTGTATTATACGAGAATAATTTTGTTATTTTATTTTTTAACTATTTATTTAATTTCTTAAAGATATTTTACTATGTTTTTTTTTTTTTTTTTTTTTTTTTAATGTACAGTTTTCCTTTAGGTATTCAGGGAAGGGGTATTGCTGAGACTTCAATTTTGTAGATTTTTGTGTTTTATGTTATAATATTTATGGAATTATAAGTTATAATAGTTATGGAAGACATCTTCATTGTTGTATTTTTGTATTGTCTGAACTGTTTAACCCTCTGAGCGGCATGACCGGCTTTATTCGAGCACGAGATTTTTTGTTACCTGATACATATTAGCTTATAGCTTTTTGCTTTCTTAATTTCTTTGATAATGTAAATGTAATCTTAATGAATGAAAGTTTATGAAAGTAGAGGCTAAAATAAGTAATTATATAAATTTAGCTAGTAAAAGCTGCATAAATACAGGTCTTCATGACAGATCCAAAAACCTGTGCCGCTCAGAGGGTTAAGTAAGATATGTGTAGTTTATATGTTCAGAGGGTTAAGTAAGATATGTGTAGTTCTTAATAAATATAGGTTTAAAACATTACCTATATTTATTAAGAACTACACATATCAGTTATAATACTGGTTGCAAGCATATCAGTTATAATACTGGTGTTAAGTTATAATATTATATATATAATACATTAATGAAAACTAATAAGATAGACTTTAGAAGAATTCCTAAGATAATATAATCAATAGAGATGGCCAAAACCTGATTTGACAAAAATTAGTTAAAATGATAAAGTAAAATGTTTTCTAAATATGCAATCTGGATAAAATGCAACATTATCGGTGTCAGTAAAAATCTGCATGAAAAATTAAAAAGTTATTTCATATATTTGTATTATATATAATATATATTTAATAAACAAGAGTTTAAAAATTTCAAAATGAAGATTATAAATTGCTAAAGTCATGCAGCATGCTACAAAAGTAATTAAATAATTAAGAAGTAATACTATAAACCAAAACTGTAATGTAACAGTTTAATGGGAAGAACATACATCAAAATTGGAATAAAATCAAAACAACTCGATAAAAAAAATATAGTTGTTGTTTTTGTGACTAATATTGCTTGTATGAAATCAGAGCAAGCTCATGAAATTCATCATAACAAGGAGATAAGATTGCTCCTGTCGTTGGCAAGAGCCTTTGGAACCATACAGGTGATGGTACGACTTTGTGCAATAGTACTGCAGTATGTTACAGTACTGCAGTGACAGTATGACACTACGTTCTACCTCTAATTCTGAAGGAAAACACCGCAGAGGGTGTTGACTTTCAAGAGTCTCCGGCCCCTCTTCTCCTACCACCAACCTCTCGAGAGGACTTTCGGTTCGACACATATTTTGAGTGTCTCCATGCCACCTAGACACTTAATCATCCATTCTTTCTCCAGGGATCATTCTTCCCTTCAGTCAATCCCTTATTCTTCCCTTGTAAGCAGCAGGAGTGCCTTCTGTTCAACTATTTGAGTTCTCACGTTTCTGTTGCATTCTAGACATAGCAATAATTCACTTAGTTCTATTTAGAGTTTGGACTATTAGAGTGTATGTTACCAAAAAGAATGAGAGTCTTCCTACAAGGTAATGAGCTCTAAGTAACTGTTCTTGGCCATTTCTTTCAGTTCTTATGAGCTATTTAAAAATGAAATGCAAAAATGTTTGCAGGGTGATTGCATTTTCACTGCAAAATTTGATTCCATAAGATGAAGTAAAAAATGATTAAAAAAAATTAAATCAAATTAAAAAGAGCTCATGCTTTCTTATCTGCAATGGGTCTATATAACATAAGCATCAGGAATACTCTTTATTTATTTACATTAGTTCTGTAAACAGTTTACTTTAAATAGCTTTAATGCCGTACGGAATGCAACATTTAGAATTTCAAATTTGTTAGGTTCATGAAATGGATTATTACTTATATAAATGCTGGTACTAACTACTCTTATAAACGACCTCAGGTCGTCAATGTGATGATATGTGTTCTGTGCTGGTTTTTGGCACGATTGAGTGTTCTGCGATAGTTTTGGGGGTGATGTTGTTTGTATGGCAACGCTTTTGATGTGGACTCTTGATTTTGCTCTAGTAGTTTTATTGGCTAATCTTTGAAATATGGTAACAGGTAGGTAATCTTTGGAATATGGCGACATTTTGGTAAGGCGATAAAAGTTACTAGCTGGGACTTGAGCAGTGCACATGGATAAAGTCAAGAGTTTGCGCAATACTATTTTTGTGCAATTCTGGGATGTTTTTCTAAGTGAAAATAGGTCGATGTGTGCATGGATACCATGTATGTGTAATTCTTAAAAATGCGGCAAGCAGTTTGCGATTTTGCACTTTCTCCCAATTTCGCACCTAATTTGGTCATGATTAAGCACTTTTGTTCCATAAAATTCTAGCATAAGCGTATTCGGCTAGCAGATTGTTGGGAAAAATTGAGTTGAAAAAAAAAAACATGCCTTACTTCGTGAAAACAAATGGCTCCCACAAAAACTAGCAGGGCTGGTTGCCAAAAAATCGCCAAGTTACCATAATCTAAAGATTAATCGTTTTATTTGCTGGTTGGTGGGCATTTTGAAATGGTTTATGTTACAGGGAAAGGAGTGGTGGCAAAATTTCACTTGTGTGCCTAGTACATCTATTTTTTCAGATGGCTGGAAATCCTACAAGGATTTAGGAAACGAAGGTTTTGAATATTTATTTGTGAATCATAGTATTAATTTTGTGGATAGTGAATGTGGCTGTCATATAAATATGGCAGAGTATGTGGATCCTATAATCGGAAATGCGATTTTGAGTTTTATTTGGTGGTTTATATTTTTTTCCAATACTTCGAATTTCAAAAATGCACTTTCCCAAAACTTTCAAAAAGTCACCAAGTTCTCCAGAAATTCCCAAATACTGCTGATTTGATTGCAAACATTTTGCCAAGGACCATCAGGAGGATTTCTGCCTATACCCTTGATTCCATTTGAACTATTTTTATGATTTAAACGTTGCTGGATTCAGAAGCAGGAGATCTATAATTTAATAGAAGAAATAAGCACTTCTGTGTTGTTATTGCCACTCTCATTTGTCTGACAAAGGTCAGCACAAGCCCATGACACTCATCGTGGCAGGTCATCGTGATGCCAGTCTTTGCAAGAGCCCCGAGCACCATACAGATGACAGCCCGACGTTAGCTCACTTCCGCCCCCAATTCTGAGTGGGAGCACAGGTTTGAGAATCTCCCAACCCCCACCACCACCAACAATCTTTCAAGAGGACTTCCAGCTTGCTGCACATTTAGAGCAACCCATGCCACACAGACCCTACACATCCACAAACATACATGCCCTCTCCGGGACTCGAACCCCGGCCACTCGGTATGGCAGTCAGCGCTGCTAATCACTATCCCAATTGGCGCCAGCACTTTTATGCAAAATACATGGCCACTAATTCAGTAACACAAAATACCTCCTAAAAGCATTATTCTTTAGTGTAAAATTTAATTTTCAATTTTAGAAAAGTGATATTTGTTTGTTTAGATAAAAAAATAAATAAATAAATAAAACGATACACAACATTACAGTAATATAAAAAAGACAATACACTCAAACAGAATAAAATGTTAAGAAATTAACAGAATTATGATGGTATTATATTTAATTCCCATTCACAACTTTTTAACTTTCTTCTATGTATCTTAATGGCTTTTATCAAACATGTAATTTTGCAGCACCAACAGCAAAGTTCTCCCTTTATTCCCATCAAACTCGGATCACTACGCCTAGATAGAACACCAAAATCTATGAATTAGTTATGATCATTTATAAAGAATTATTTCTGTTTAGAGCAAATCTTGAAAATTTGCCTTCATGCTGAACTAAATTATTTTCCTTCACCCTTCATTTCCGTATCAAAAAATCATTTACATTAAATTCTGCAATGGGTGAAAAGTATATATGAAAAATTTTGATAAAAAGGCAAATAGTAGCTCTTTTATACATTTTATGTTCAGAAATATGAAATTTTTCTTCCTTTGTGATCATGAGTTTTGGCATACGCTTGTTATTTCAAAAAGCTTGTCCTCTTGTGGTATGTTGTCTTCACGAATATATTCCTTGACTTTTGATGTGGATTCTCTGAAAAATAGCTTCAGTTTAGGGTCAGAATCCAATATGTCTGTATGGGGTATGAGATAGTAAAATTAATATAACGAATAATTGAAATTCCTTTGGACTTTTTCTATGAACAGCCAAAGAATTTTTGACAGAACTACATTTCTGAATTATTATAAATTCATGAAATAATTCAAAAATAAGTGCTAAATAAAAAAATAGTTAAAATAAATGTAAGGGCCAATATTTTTTATAATACCAATAAAGAATGCAATGAAAAGTATAAAAAAAATTTTAATCTTTTTTATAAATCACCAAGACATAATATTTGTTTTGGATTACATTGCAGTGTTGTCAGTTTATGCAATATTTTGCGAATATCTACTTTTGATAAACCTGTGCTACTAAAATTTATGCATATGCTACTTTGTGAAATTTTTGCTACTCCATCATTTCCTTGGGTTGCTTTTTCAACTTAAAATTTTTTTAATACATTGTAAAACACTAATATCTTAAAATAATGTATCTATTAAAATTAATTCACAATAAATTAATAAATAAATAAACCAATTTGTGTAGGCTTAAATAGAAGTTGGCATCTGGTAATCCTGAGATCATAGAGCAGGCTCAAACAAGTTTTCCTGGTGTTTTCACATGTTTGATTAATTGCTGAGTGTAATCGTTAAATTTTGCCAATAAATAATGTAACTATTGAAAGAGTGTTTTTGACAGTCATTTCGACTAAAATCAAACATCAGAATGAATGGGCTTAGAACTTCTAGATCTGTACTTCAAATGAAGATGCCGTTGAAAGAAAACAAAATCTGCTATGCTTTCTTTATACCCTCATCACCAATGCATACATATAGCTCAAATATTTATAAAGAGAGATGAGTGAGGCTAACACACAAAAAATATGGTAAAGAGCTATTAAATTCAATTTTCTTTTAAATAATATGTAAAAATAAAAAATGCACATTTTTATATGATATTTTTTCCCCTTCTGAGCAATAGTTGATTAATCAAGTGTGTTATGATAATATGTTCTGTAATATTGAAGTGCTAGTCGATTTATTTTAAAAGGAATGAAAATTTCATCAGAATTAATTATACAGATCAAACAAAATGGAATAATTCAATATGAAAAATTTATTTTTCAGTGACACTAGATATCTTCACACTACAGTGAAATATGAATACAGTAGATTCTTTCTATATAACCACTTCTGAAAATGGTCATTATGGGTACTTTTCTATTATTGGTACCAGATTCAAATATGTATCTATGTACATACTTATGTGTTTGTATACACACACACATCCACATATTTCTGAAATTGATCTGGATTACAGAAAAGTACACTTTTATGAGAACATAAATTAACATTAGCTCTATAAAATGGTTACAGGAAATCAAAATTATATGTAACTTTGAGTGGTTATCTTAGTATTCATTGTGTTTGTTTTATAATAAATATTATTTCAATTGTTAGATTAATTTTAAAATGAAATATTTTTAGAACTGATACATACTGTCTTAAGCAAAAGAGTGTTAAAGCTTCTGAAGTTAAGACATGATATGACATGTCTCTGCAGAACTCAAATAACTATCTTCTTGTGTCTATAAAATTCCAAAACATCATTCTTCATATGTTTTTCTTTATTAAAATTATGTAACACAAAATTCAGTATTTAAGTACAAATGATTTATTTATTTAGCATATACATTAATAATTTTTCTAATTTCCATGCTAAAACTCTGCTTATGTAATGGAGGTTATAGACATAATTTCAATAATTAACATTAAAGTATTGTAAAGAAACAATCACCATCCATATCACCCTGATGACACAATGAGCAACAATTTAATTCCTTGACTTGACTTGATTAACAAGCTAAATCCGATGTAAATGTTGCTGTAAATAATCATGGCCAGTTGTCAAACAAAAGCAAGCAACTTTAACAGCCCAAGGTAAGGAAGGGGGATTTTGTTTCTTTTGTTGATTAGGGTATTCCACTTCTTATCCACTGCTGCATCAACATATAAGGATATTCTGCTAATTTTCATTTTATTATATATATATTTTTTTAACATTAAACAAAGGGGAGTCATGTTGGACTATAAGGAATCTAGCCTTGGCAAGTGTATCTGCCTGCTCATTTCCAAAAGTATCATAATGGCTCAAAATACATGAAAGGCAATGCTCTTTCTTTTTTTCCTTTAGCTTCAAAAGGTTTCATTTTATAAGAATGAACGTGGGCATTTTCATTATAGTTTGAAGTTACAAAATAGCAGCTTGTGAATTGATGAAAAACACAGTATTTTGATCTAGACTGTTTTTTAATTTATCAGTTGCATATGTTATAGCTGGTATCTCTCCATCAAAATTGTCACAATGCTTCCCAATCTTAATATTGATGATATTGATTTTTTATTCTGTTTTCCCCCAATTAAAGAAGCGATTTGTAGCCTGAGCATTATTTATTGGGTACTTAACCCTCCGAGTGTTACGAGTTTAGCCCTGAAGTTTCAAAGTTCCTCAAAATGTCATGAATAAGTGGTATTTTCTTGATTTTAATTTAAAAAATGGCTCTCTCATTTTGTATCTTGATTCCTTTTCTTCCAATATACATCCAAACCAAAATCAAATACATTAAAAGCTAGTAGAAATATTCATTTGTAATTAATATAGAAGGCAGTCTTCTATAAGGAATTTTCCAGCCGTAACGCTGAGAGAGTCAAACAGAGAAAGAAATTACATTCATTCTCCTGATTATCTTCTTCCTAATTATCCCTCTGATCTGAATCAGATCAGATCCATACATTTGTTCACCTTCATAACTTCCTGCACGAAATTAGGTCTCTTCAGCAGATCTTCATGTACCAAGGCAACACAGCTAAGTAGATGCTGCACAGTAGCTTCATGGTTTCTACATTTGGCGCTGTCTCCTGCTTATAAAATTGCTAAGATCAAAAGCAAAATCAGTTTTCTAAATAACAAGACAAATTTAAAGATGAAGAACGAAAATGTTATTATTAATCAGAATGTGATAAAGTCAACTAAGCTGAATTGAAAATGCACTGAAAAGCATTAACAATTAAAATGAAGCAAAAAATAATGAAAAAAAATAAATAAATAAACTTCCAACTCGGGGGGGGGGGAATAGTACAAAGCCATTCACAGTCCAAACATGAAGAAAGGATTAACAATGGGTATGGTCAAATGAATTTTAAAATAAAAGCCTAAATTAACTGAGAATTAAATAAAAAAATTAATATTTAAACAATGGAAAATTAGACTTAAAAATCTTGATGAAAACATCTAAGAATCGAATTACAGTCCTTAAGTTATGGAACCAATGAAGATTGCATTTGTGGTGATGTCAGAGGCCATGTGTTTATACAAAACTATGACATTACCAAAATCATGTCAGCTCAGACATTATTCACTACATTTTGGGAATTTTCGATTCTTCATCAGGTACTTCTTTATTTAAAAAGTTTCTGGCAACATAAATGAACATAAATAAAATGAATGATCTCAAGAATTAAATATGGTGTCAGTTGTGAAAATTATATTTTAAATGGCTACACTTTTTATTCTCTTACTATTATTTATTTATTTATTAAAGGTCTGAAACATGGCACCCTTTAAAGAAACAAAAACTGCACATTGAAGTAGGTTTCTTAAAAGTGGATCCTGACACTCAAACTGTTGCTCTTCTTGGTGCCCACAATTTTGGTATGTTCTTTTATGTTTGTCTGCCTAATCATTTCGTAAATTAGTTACATTAGCCAAGTTAGATTATTATTTAAAATTATTGTATTGCTTTTATTGACATTTTTCATTAAATATGCCTGCTATGTTAAAAACCACTTAAATTTGTCTTACCTATTTTGATACTACTAAACGACGAGAAAAAATATCCTTCAAGAGAGTAATAGAGTTTGATTGTTTTAATATAAATGGGAGAAACATATAAATAGGTACTTTTAAAGAATTTTATTAGGGAAATGCAAAACTTGATAAACTTTGTTTTGCCTCGAGGAGAAATAATAACACCTTAGTGGTCCATAAACCTGTCTTTTATTAACCTTACAATATCTCAAACTCACAATTATAAAATTAACAACCCATGGTTTTTAATGAGCCATTTTACAGATTATCTTGTGCATTGCTAACTGTGACTCTCATATCACCAGTCACTGACTACATTGCAGAGGTATAGGCACGAGCTTACCGCCCAACGTGCAATGTATTAACATTCAAATAATTGTAATTAAGATATATAAACAAATTAGCATAAAACCATCATAATTATAATCAAACATTTAGCATATAAATCAATCAGCATGTAAACCAATTGCTCTGCCAATCAAAAAGTGTCCTGGTATTAAGACTTCTAAATCATCGATGTCTGAAGTTGTCAGTGGTCAGGAATTTAAAATTCGTTGAATTTGAGTCATAACTTAAAAAAATTGTTGGAATGCTAATTTTTCATTACCTACGACACATTTCAAATGTTCCTTAAGACCTCCAGTGGCCTCCAAAATTGAAAACTCTGGTAGGGAAAAATTTCTGTTTTATATTGTCAGACTTCAAGGAGCCAGCCCAAACCTCAGATCGGCTATGATGGCCTTAATGACCATGCAAATGAATATACATACATAAAACTTTTGATATATGTCTTTTATCTGGTTTTTAGAAAGTCTCTGGTCTCAAAGTTTTTGTCTTATAATAAGGACTGTGGATCTATATGCAGGTATTTAAAATGATAGTAATTAACTCTGTTAATTTATCTTTTGAAGGCAGAATAATGTGAATTTTTTCCTCATAAGTCAAATTGCTTCATTTCTTACTCTTAAGTAATTCATTATTCTCAATAAGCTCTTAATTCCCCCACTTGTAAATTATGGTATGGTATTCTTTGGTGCTTGCTTACAATTCATATAAAATTTAAATAAAAACTTGTAATATAAATTAATTTTAAATATTTATTGCTACGATTCAGTAAATCATTAACAAAGTTCTTCACATTCAGATTTAAACATGTTAATACTTCATGTGTTTTAATTTCTTTAGTTTTTTTGAGTCAACATGTGTTTTAATTTCTTTAGTGTTTCTTTCATTTACTTTCAAGTACAGTTCTGTTAGGGTACCCAATCCTTCAGGCCTTTTCAATTACAGTTGAACTAGTTGCTATTTTTTAGCATTTATAGCTCTAGATATAAGATCAGGTTTCCCCCCCCCAAAAAAAAGCAGTGTAATGTTACTGTGTGATTTCAGTAAGATCATGTACCTCTGAAACTGGTTTGTAACAAATGTCTTGCAGGTGAGGCACCTTTTTAAATCCATGTCACTACAATCATGAATCACTCCAAAGCTGAATAGTGGTAAATTCCAGTTTCAATGATTGCCTCACTCGGTGCATTAATTTATCTTAGAGTACTGCTGCACAGAGTTTAAGACTTGGGATTGCTGTCTTCTTCAGAGGCAGACATCTCACTGATGTACTGTTTGATGTTCCATAGGCATGCATCAGAAGCAGCCTATGGAGAGGCAACTCTGTCTTGATTATATCTGAATAATCTTCAAGAATAGTCTTGATTATATTTGTTAATAAAATATATCTATCGACTTCAAGAATAGTCTTGATTATAGCTGCTAATAAAATACATCTATCGACTTCAAGAATAGTCTTGACTATATCTAGTAATAAAATACATCTGTCGACTTCGAGAATTTTCCACTACTTTGCAGTTAATTAACTGCAAGGCAGTGGAAAATTCTGTCTGTTCTTTGGCCTCATTTTCTGCCAATGTAATTTTGGATAAATTTTAACAACCATAATTTCTGCATCAATATTTTTGCTATAATTATAGCTGAAGTTAAATCAGGGATTAATAATTATAGCTGGAGCTAAATGAGGAGCTAAACCAGGGATCAAAGATGTGAGATATGATGGATAACACTTGCCACTTGCCATTGTGTATGTCGGAGTAAGGAGGGGTCAACTAGAAGTACATCTTTTTTAGGTCTTTGTTGGTCATAAACTGCATTGATTTGTACACTTGTTGCACTCCAATGAACTGCCTCTTCATCATTTTTTCCAGAAGATTGATAGAAATACATCTGGACCACAACAGTTTTCTAGAACAATAGGAAAATCCCTGAAAACATGTGAAACCCTTCCTGTGACAGGTTATATCCTATACCAGTTGATCTACAAAAAAGACCTCATTACTGACCAAAAATACTTGCTTTATATTTCTAAGGCAGTATCCTCAGGAAAGTGCCATTCAGACCTAGCAAACAGGAGTTCTGGGAAGAGGACCCACTCAATATGGCTCATTACAGCCAACAGAATTCTTTCCCTTTATGTATCAGCCGCTGAGCCAACAGATGACTTGAAGCTACTGGCCGAATGTGTTATAAAAGTTTATGTGCTATCCTGGTTTGAAATAAAGAAAATTCTGACAGCAATACATGGAGCACATCATGTTCATGGAATGATCAAGAAAAGTCCATTCTTGCCAGAAAATTTCAAGGCAATCGTTCTGAGGGACTGTAACTTTTCTCACTTTGAGACCATCCTGTGTTGTATTTTTATATATATGTTGGGTATGTGCTCAGTGATGATTACAAGATGTACACAAACATCATTTATTCTACATTGCTCATCTACTATTCTATATTACAGTTATGATTAAAGATAATAGTAGATACAGTTACAGTTACATATATAACATCTCCCTTTTTTATAAAAAATAATAATAGTAGTAAAATTAAACATATTCTTTTAAATAATAAGGTTTCTTAACAGTCCTTCCAGATCGTGTAACATAGTTATGTCCATTTGAAAAATTTGATGATACTATACCTCTTTCACTATTTTGTGACACAACACTTCTGTTAAGTTTTAAAGGACTTACAGGCACATCTAAATTTGTAGTGTTCCTACTATTTTCATGTATCTCAGGTTCATCTATAACTTCATTCTCATACTTGTTTTGTATTGCAAACTCTTCTTGATTAGTTCCTTTAAGAAGGTCTCTTCTGTTCCTTTCTACAATTCTTCCATCTGTTCTTATAACTCTATATGAACATGGTCTTTCTGCTTCTTCTATAATTTTCGCTCTTTCATTTAGTTTTCTCCCTTTCTCTTTTATGTTAACATGATCTCCTGTTTTCAGTGGTTTTAACAGTCTTGCATTCCTATCATAATAACTTTTTTGAAGGTTTGTCTCTTCAGTAAATGTTGTTTATGGTCTTCATATCGTTTAGCTTGGACGAAATTCTCTTTAATAGGCATCAATCCATTTACTTTTCTTCCAAACATCAGTTCTGAAGGTGACTTCATCTGAAATAGGAGAGTTACGATATTCCAGTAATACTAAATATGGATGCTTGTTGTCAACTACAGCTTTTTCTAACATTCGCTTGACAGTTTGAATATGTCTTTCAACCATTCCATTAGATTGTGGATAATTTGGACTTGAAGTTCTGGTTTCAAAATTCCATCTTCTTGCAAAATCTTTAAATTTTTCTGCAATTATATTGTGGACCATTATCCGAATATACTATTTTCGGAATACCATGTCTTGCAAAAATTGATTTCAATTGCTTTATCACTGCTACACTTGACAAATCTTCCAAATGTCCAATTTCAACATATTTGCTAAAATAATCTATTACTATTAGATAATCCCTTCCTTGAAAGTAAAAGAGATCTGTTCCCAATACTTCCCATGGACCATTAGGTATTTCTTTAGATATCATTGGTTCTTTAGTATTAGCTTTTTGTAAACTTAAACATGTTTGACAATTCAGTACCAAATCTTCAATTTCTTTCGACATTTCTGGCCAATATAATATTTGTCTTGCTTTGATCTTGCATTTTACTACTCCTAAATAACCATAATGAATTCTGCTTAACATATCTTTTCGTAAACTTCTTAGTACAATAACACAGGAATTTTTTAAATATTAATCCATTTGCTTCTGATAGTTCTTCTCTGAAGTTAAAATATGGTTTTGCCAGTTTTGGAACCGTACATTTTTCATCTGGCCATCCAGTTTTAATTAATTTTCTTAAAACTTGTAGTTCTTCATCTTTTTCTGTTTCCAGTTGAAAAACTTCCATTTGGTAGATTCTTCCATTAGACATTGGTATACATTCTACAACCAATCCAATATGAGGTTCTATATCTCCTTCAAAGAAATCAGATCCTTCATCAGTGAATGATCTTGATAATGAATCCGCTATAAAAAGTTCTTTTCCTGGTTTATATTTTATCTCAAACTGATATGGCTGTAATCTTATACGCATTCTTTGTAGTCTTACAAGGCATTTATTTAATGGCTTTTTGAAAATTGATTCCAGTGGTTTATGATCACTTTCCATAGTAATATTTTTTCCAAATATATACTGGTGAAATTTCTCACACGCAAATACAATAGCTAAAGTTTCCTTTTCAATTTGAGCATAATTCTTCTGTGTATCTGTTAATGCCTTAGATGCATATGCCACTGGTAAATTATTCTGTAGTAAGACTGCTCCTAGTCCTTCTTGAGATGCATCTACAGATAAAACTACTGGCATGTTTATATCATAATACTGTAAAACTGGTTTATTTACTAATGCATCTTTTAGCCTTCTAAATGCTTTTTCATGTGCTGCATTCCAGTTCCAAATAACTTGTTTTTTCAACAAATCTCTTAAACATGGTGTCAATTCTGAT